ACCTCCTGCACGGGCCCGCGGCGAGGACACGGGAAGACCGAAAGTTACCTCGTCGCGCTGCTCCCTGAGAAAGGAGCAAAGTAAAGATCCATGCACAAAGGAAGCAAGACACAAGTTTGTTACAAACTTACTGATCAGGGCGAGGGCGGACTCGGCATGCCCGACCCACATGCCAGGAGTGATCTGCCGCCTGGATGATGGGCTCCCTCCGGCGTTTGACACCCTTAGAAGGAGACAACTCAGCGCCGTCTGATAGGATAGGACCACTCCTCCCACCTTGGCACGACGGGGCCTCGCTGTACCCGGAGCCCGAGCTTGGGGACATTGTCTCGGATGGCCAGGCCCTTCAAGGCTCTGATCTCCCTGGTCCCCTTGGTCTTCTTCGGTTTGGCCGAGGACACATACGGGTCCATGACCAGCGGCTTCTCCAGCTTGGTGCTCACAGGCTCCCCATGCTAAGGAGCCGGTGATCGTAACTTGGTGAATGTACACCAGTCCTGCATCACAACAACTCGGATTCAGTCGATTGGGCGAGATAAACAAAATGAAGCTCCTAGGGGGCTCGTTGTGCCTTGTAGTAGACGACATCATTCCCCTCAGCCCGAAAGGTCCGGTCCTTGGTTTTGAAGAGGAGCGTCTGCATCCCGCCGATATCCTCCCCTCTATAGAAACCTCGGATGACCGAGGTAGCGCAACCTGGGGCAAACCTCCGTAGAGGAGATGCTCAGGCTTAGAGAGGTTGGACCTTGCGATGGAGCACGACATGGATCACATCCACGAGAGTGGCGCCCTCATCAACACAAAATGCCACATGATCCTGGAGGGCTTTGATCTCCTCTTGGTTTCCCCAGTCGAGGTTCTTGGTCGTTCGAGTGCAACTGATCTAGAAGCGCAGCCGAGAAGGGAAGGACTCCTTCCCTGTCCCCTGATGTGTTATCGGCCATGTAAAACCACTCCTCCTATGGTCCTACCACAACTTGACCGTCTTGATAAACTTATCAGACAACCACTTGACACCATGGATCTTGCTGGTCATGGCTCTCCACACTCCGTGATCTGGCCTCCATTGGCCTGCGGTTTGACGAAGAATAGTTTGAGCCAGAGCCAGAGCCCGAAATGGGGCTCGGTGCAGAGGAATGCTTCATAGAAGACGATGTAGAGGCAATGTGGAGCATGGAGTTGGGGGCGAGGTGATGGAATTGGAGGCCGTAGAAATATAGAAGGTCCTCTAGAAAGGATGGATGGGAAATCTCATACCTCGTATGAGGTGGGAGATAAACACGACACGCTCGCCTTCCTGAGGTTCTGGAACCCGAGAGGCGAAATGGATGGCCTTCTCGGCGAGTGGGGAATGACACTAAACTTTGTCTTGTGGCGGGAGGTACCTGAGCGCCTGGAGCTCGGTGATGTCACTGGTGGTGACAACAGAGCAGAGCCACACCCCCTCTTGCTCGCCGCTTTCTCCTCAGTGGCCGCCGCTGTCGTGGTGCCCTTCCCCTTCCCAGCCATCGATGGAGACCGAAAGAAGGAAAAAAGGAGGTGGAAAGGTTGTGCATGGGCTCTGGTCTCTGGGCACTGGAGCTTGAGGGTTGCAGGAGCAAAGAGCGAGAGGGGAGGTGTGAAAATGGATTGCATCCATCATCTACCTTTTATAAGACAGTAAAAATACCGAAGGGACACACTACATGGCAGTAGTTTCACAAGTTCCCAACGCGACGTGCATTACTTGCACACGTGAATTGAGGGATTCTACTAACGATGCCGCTGGAAATCCGGGGCACGATCTCTTTATTCATGGGACGTGCCAATGGCAACGGCGTCGAGCTACGCTAAACACGGCATAATGACTACTGATGGGCAGCAAGGACCTTTTGGTTCTACAATACGTGGTGGCGGTTTGGGTTCGGTCAAAGTTGTCAGAACACGACCCAAATGGCGCGCCCACTCTAGCATAGGGAGACTTCACCGTTAAGTTAATTAGGCGTAGGAAGGGTCTTCAGATTTACTGAAAAGACAAGTGCTTCTCGGGAAGCTCAGTTGGGGATCCTCGGATGTCCGAGGTATGATATTCCTCGGACAGAACTATGGTTACTTCAGAGGGAGATGCGCGAAGAAGGTGTGAACCAGTTTGCAAGACCGAAGGCCAATAACAGAGAACAAGTCGCCCGAGGCTTG